CCACCCAGGGTGAAAAGTCATCGTGTAAATTGGCTCTTACTTACACCAACGGCCTGTTGAAGTCACAGGTTTTAGCTCATGTTGGTTGACCAGTAGTCAAATTTCCAAACTGAGATTTCTTATGCGGAGATGGACCAAAAAGTCCAATTTTTTCAGTGGAAAGTCAATTTTTAAACTAAAGTAATAGTAGATTTTTCCATCTCTACTCGAAATACGACAGAACACATTGTCTCCGGCGCAACTCTTTGAAATTCCGTTGAGTTTGCTCAAATATCTTTTTGCTTCGCTGAGATATTACAATTTTAAGTTTACGGATTTTCCAATTTTTCTATATCTTGAAAATCATGTAAGTAACATAGCGGCCATGTGTACTATCCGCAGCACTTTTTGTTCACTTCCAGGGCGTGAAACCAGGCGCCGCGGATTGGAAGCGCGCACTGCTTACCACCATGAACCAATTAGAACAGATCTAACCGGTTGAGAAGCAGCCATTTGNCCGTCGACTTGAGGCAACTGAATCCGATACCAAAAAGTCCAATTTTTTCAGTGGAAAGTCAATTTTTAAACTAAAGTAATAGTAGATTTTTTCATCTCTACTCGAAATACGACAGAACACATTGTCTCCGGCGCAACTCTTTGAAATTCCGTTGAGTTTGCTCAAATATCTTTTTGCTTCGCTGAGATATTACAATTTTAAGTTTACGGATTTTCCAATTTTTCTATATCTTGAAAATCATGTAAGTAACATAGCGGCCATGTGTACTATCCGCAGCACTTTTTGTTCACTTCCAGGGCGTGAAACCAGGCGCCGCGGATTGGAAGCGCGCACTGCTTACCACCATGAACCAATTAGAACAGATCTAACCGGTTGAGAAGCAGCCATTTGTAATAGCAATTGATAAAAAAGTGTGTAACGTTCGTAATTTTGCTATTTCTGTTTTGCTTCTTTCTTTATGTGTATTTTGTCGGGGGTTTATTTCAGTGATTTTTAAGCGATTTTCAATAAATTTTTTGTGCAAATGTAATTAAAATGAAGTGCGCGGTGATTGGTGGCAAAAACACGTAAAAAATATTAATTTGGTTAGCAAAAACATGTGCTGCAAAATTGCTTGCATTCTTTTCTTTATGCTTCGTCTTCATATTCTTTTTTTACTTTTCAAAGAAAATAACATGGCGCCGAAATTACAAACGTCAGCAAGAAAATTACTTTTTTCTTTACTTTTGCTTCATCTTGTCAGATCTTGTGTAGTTGGATCATGTAAATAAACCTTAAGTGTTGCATTTTCCATTGGTCGTTTTCACACTGGAACATTTCTGCCACCAGAACAACTCTGTTTGTGGGCAAGAGAGGCAGTAGGGTGAGGTAAAGTTTCTCAAAAAGTTGTTCCAGCTTCTACCCCACATTAAAGTGGCAGTTCTGCAGCAGCGCACTAGCACATGCGCAACTACAAAAATACCGCTACATAAATTTCAAGCGCAAAGTTACAAATCCATTCAAACGTGTATACGTATACATTTTGTTCTGCTATTTTTCATCCAGTGTGAAGCCGTGAGAATAACTGTTCTGTCATTCTAGTGTGAAATAGCCCATTGTCAACAAGTGTCAGCGCGCGCTATCCCCAAATCAAAGCGGCGTAATTTTTGACGTTTTCTCATTTCCTCCCATTCTTCGTTTCACTTTCACTTTATGGTCCTTTCTCTTTCTTTCCGTCTTCTGCATCCAACTTCAACATGTAAAGACGTGGCAAATCGCTGTCAAATTGAGAAAGAGGGATTTTATTTCGATGTGTGAACAGCCAGAAAGACCTTTCTGTCACATTTCGGAAATAAGTTTCAGAAATAAAAAGCCGCAAGATGTGAAAGCAATTGAAGGAGCTCAAATCGATTTCGGAAATATATTTCAACTTGCTCGTACAGCACTAGCAACATGCAATTAGGCTTACGGAAATAAAAGACCTCTTTCCAAAGACACTGCATGCAACTGCTTTCTGAAATTTGTGAATTTGACAGCCCTTTCGAAATATATTGCACTGCCATGTCTGACAGGCTTTTAACACAAGTCAAGAACGAAAATTGCATTAATCGGCGCTAGCGCCTCGTTATTATGGGATGATTCATACAACTTGTATAGGCATGAGGATTTTTGGACAGTTCCCTGGCTCTTGACGCGCTAATTTAGGGATGGCAGTTATGGGAGCAATGTTAAATTCAAACACACTTTGCCAATTTCATTTTGGTTTTAACTTAATAATTTTTTTTCTAATAAATAAGCTTATTAAAAAACTTATTGCACTTACTGTGATTGAGTGTTCCAATTTCCACAGCCATCCACATAGCAAACCAAGCACACTATAGCGTTCCACTTTTAGCGTTCCGCATTGAGAGAAGTTTATCACCAAGTCCTTTACTAATGTTTATACATGTGAATTCTCTCGTTATTTAATCAAATTTAATTTGTGCGTAAAATATGCAGAACTGCCAGAAATTATTCCGCATTGCACCGCTGATTTGCAAAAGCAGCCGCACCATCAGTACAACAACTCCACTTGAAGGCAAACGTAATTTTCGCAAGTTTCTCACACCCAACAAGCGAGGCACACGCAGCGTCAAGTTAGCCCAAAAAACTTTAGCCAATCCACCTGTGCCTATTGACAAGCGCGGCGTACGGGACACCGGCGTAACCATTGACGGCAAATATGTAGAGATACCAGAACGTATACCCGAGTTAATAGTGCCTGATTTAACCGATTGCAAACTGAAGCCTTATGTCTCATACAAGGCGCCAGAAGTGGTACAATCGGAGTTCACCAGCTTGGACTTGTTTAATGCAGTGTATTCCAAAAAGATCATTGAAGACTTCAAGGAGGGTAAACTAAACGAAGATTGGCAGTCCATTAAATCCATCAAAGGAAGAACAATTGAACGCTGACGAGGCTTTGATACGCGCACGTAAAACCGGTTCAGATATATTCTAAAGAGTATGCTTTATTATTTATTGTTTTTTGTGTAGTACCTAGTACCTATACTAACATATATAAGTTTAAACTACTCCTGATAATATCTTTGCCGGTAATTAAATAGTTTGCGCAACCACTTTTCCGCCTTGAGATCAGCGTCACCAATGAACTGCAAAATGTTAAGAATATACATATTTGAATAAAAATTGTTTTAAAAACGTATGATTTTCTTACATTTGGATGAAATATTTTTTCATCGACCAAGTTTTCTTTGATCGTATCTGTGAGCTTGGGCATCTTCACTGGTTTCCGAATCCAAATCAATTATGACCTTATCAGCTAAGGGTTTCTTTTCAGGTGCTTCTCTATCCCGTGTGCTGAAAAAGGATTTTGGCTGAAAGGACTCTTCCTCAATGGCGTCCAATGCTTTTCGGACATGTGCATCAATAGCATCTATTCCTTTGAGTGTTGCAACCGACAAAGAAGCGGGTGCTGCTGTACGCGAATTCTCCTCTGAACTAGGTGCACGGGTACTTCTCGCCTGCGAGCGAGATTTATAAGAGTTCCGACTGCTACGACTAGCAACAGAATAATTGGATGAAGATGATGAGCTGCTGCTGCTTCGACTGCGTCTTGAATATTTCTTGGATTTTTTAGATTTTTTGCTTTTCTTCGAACGACTACTGCGGGATGGCGATCTTGATTTCGAATGGTACTTACGCGAATAGTGCCGATCTCTTTCACGGTCGCGTTCCCGGTCCCGGTCACGGTCCCTATCCCTATCACGGTCGCGGTCACGATCACGTTCTCTTTCTCGATCTCTATCCCTTCCACGGTCACGATCGCGTTCACGGCGCGATGATTTCGATTCACTTTCTCGCATTTTAATAAAAAATTAATGTTTTGCAAGGAAACCAGAATTGAATAAGAATGACAAAATTCTATTGAAGAAAATAATTGACGAGGAATGAAACGAAATAAGTAAAAGGCCGTTCGCACCAGGCGATTTTGCGTTCAACTCACGCAGGGTTGCACAAAAAAAAGTTGAATGGCTAAAGCTGAAATTAGTCAAGAACGTAAAGTTTTCATAAACTTGCCTTTCCAACTAAAATTTTTCGTGCTATAATAGATCGAAGCTAAATATAAACTACTTAGTTTTCAACAAAAAACCTTATGCAATAGTAAATTTCAAATATCTTAAACGTATTTTGTATAGGAACTTATAACTTGTTTACCATCTGCAAAGCTGACGAAATGGCAACCATCTATAGATGGAAGAAATCAGCTGACACGGAAAAATCTAAATTCCGAAGATTTCTGCGCTACGGGCTACAACTTCAGAAAAATTCTGCGGTGTTGAGTTTTCATTTACATGGCGCTCTGGTAAGAAAGATCGTGTCAGCTGACTCGGGTTTACGTACCGGTAAGTTTACGTTCTTGACTAATTTCGGCTTAAAGCTGAATTTAGATTTTTCCGTGTCAGCTGATTTCTTCCTTCTATAGATGGTTGCCACTTCGTCAGTTTCGCAAATGGTAAAAAAGGTATAATTTCCTATTCAAAATACGTTTAAAATATTTGAAATTTACTATTGAATAAAATTTTTTTTGAAAACTAAGTAGCTTATATTTAGCTACGATCTATTATACCACGAAAAATTGTAGTTGAAAAGGTAAGTTTATGAAAAGGCATTGATGAGNTGAAAACTAAGTAGCTTATATTTAGCTACGATCTATTATACCACGAAAATTTGTAGTTGAAAAGGTAAGTTTATGAAAAGGCATTGATGAGTGGCAACACTGTAGTAAGCAACACTGAGGGCTCCAGTAATCAACAAAATCCTGCGTATACAGACTGCGTTTAAGTATACGTTCTGCGTTCTTGACTAATTTCAGCTTGAATGTTGGCTGGCGACCAACTTTAGCCATGTTTTATTTGTCCAGAAATTTAAGCTGTTAGCTTATTTTGTATGGAGGACTTACCCAACATAATTATATCGGCTTATGAAATGTTATCTTGGCTTGTATATTAAACAAGAGGCATTGCCATTCAGCATCAGAAATTTTCTCCTTCAGCCAATCAGAAAGAGGTGAAAACTTACTTTGACACTATTTGCAGTCAAACAACTGTCAAAATTAGGCTAACATAGGAAATGAGCTAATTTCGTTTTATTTGACCAAGATTTAGCTATTTGCTTGTGATGGTTGAAAAAAACATGCCTTTTGTTGAAAGCGATTAGTTGAAGGTATTTATTGGCGTGATCCAAATATCGCGGTATTTATTGATGGTGTCGCATGCAGTATGACGCGAGAAAATNAAAAACATGCCTTTTGTTGAAAGCGATTAGTTGAAGGTATTTATTGGCGTGATCCATATATCGCGGTATTTATTGATGGTGTCGCATGCAGTATGACGCGAGAAAATATTCTTATTTTGTACGAATAATTTACAGATAATGCATTTAATAATGCATTTAGATAAAAAAAAATTATGAATTTAATCTTTGATCCTTGGTAACTTCTGTAGTTTTTGCTTCCCATAAAAAAAAAGAAAATATACCGTTATACTTGCTTCAAAAACCTCTATCGACGTCCTTGTTCAAAATTTTTGCCCCGGTTATCGTAATCGTGCCGTTTCGTCAGCTGAGCGTTTGTTTACATCACAAGAACCACTGTTTTACACTTTTATTTAAGGAAAGAAGAGTTAATTCGACATGACAACAGATTTTAAAATATTTTAATGCATCATTTTACCTAAATTGTGCGTTTAAGGTGGCTGACAATAATTTTGGATAATTTTGGTTTTCGTTGTTTTCTTTGCTTTGTTTACTTTTTGCTCGTTTTCCAGTGAAACAAGATGGCGTAGAAACCGCTAAAAAAATCGACTTTTTCCACTCTCTTCTTTTTAGTCCCCTTTCAGACACGTCAAGTCTTGAAGGCAATTTTTTCGCATTCTCTTTTGTGTTTTCTATTTGCTTCCACACGCGTCAACTTTAATTGAATTCAAGTCCTTGGTTCTTTAAATGGGAAGCAACGAAAAGATCAAAAGAGACAAGAAAACTTGAAAGGAATTGACGGTACGGTCTGTACTCTTCCCCTCTCCTCTCACCACCTTCGCCTACGAACGAGCAGACTTGAAAGCAAGACTTGCAGCGTTTTTGCGTTTGGTTGTTAATTTTAAACCAAAACTTCAATACAAAAATTTGAATTGTTTTAACCATGACCGTCCATTTGTTTATGTATATATTCATTTGTCGGTGCTGTCAATTAAAATTTCCTCACTTAATTAGGAAACAAAACAAACTGAATTGATCACAAATTGATTCAGATTTATATCAGCATCACATCNTGATCACAAATTGATTCAGATTTATATCAGCATCACATCGATATTGAATTTTCTTAACTTTTCTTTCCAAATATGTAATGTAAAATAAAAGAAATATCCATGAACCAAAAAGAC